GCAATACATCATTTCCACTTTTGCCTGTCACTTACCTCTAGTCATGTGTAATGGAAAAGAGCTACCAGGTGAGGGAAGAGCTGAGAGTAGAGGGAGCAGCTCTCAGAAACAGGGGTGTCTCTGGGGTATATTTGCATGAGCAAAGCTGGGCCATGCTCAGAGACACCTAGTTCACACCACAACAGCCTTTTAAAAAGCCAGACACTCCCAGGGAGCAGAGGCAGAGACACCAAGGCAACCCCAACTCTGAACACAGGTTACTACTGCTCCCATGTGTGACTGGTCCAAGCAAAGGACAGGCTGACGGAGCAGAATGGCCAAGAAACCCCCATCAAAACTGCTACCAGACTAAAGTGAGGTTTTATCCCACTGCACTCACTCCAGAGGCAAAGCCCAAGAAACAGCTCCACCAGATGAAAAATTGCATGTACTGAAACCAGGTAGGACAAGGAGCTGGCTCAGTCACCCAAGTGGCTGCTGCCCAAGAGGAACAAGCACACAGAGTAGGAACAACCAACATCACCAAGGGAAAAAGGATGTGAAACATGCAGGAACTGAACAGCACAGTGACCCTTTTCACTAAGGACAAATGTCCTCTGCTGAGTAAGCAAAGTCCCGAGGACTTGCCAGTGCTCCTGGATGCACAGGCATTCCCAAAATTGCCTTCTCCAGTCTTGAACTGTGACTGGGCTGCAAAAGTATAAGTGGATGCAGAACCAGAAATACAGAAGGTGAGAGATGTCTCACCTCGTAAAGAAACAAATCACAGGAAGTTGTGAAGATAGCCCCAACCATGCATTGCTGGACACGTTTCCAGTTAGCTGAACCCTGTCTTAGAGGGAAGAAAGCAGGACAACTCTCAAAAACCTCCACTGCTTTGAGAAGATAGTGCCCACATCCAGCTGCACACAGCCATTTCTCTGTGTGCTTGGCAATCACCTGATTTTCTAGGACTTGGGAGATGGAAGGAGATGAAGGGGAGCACTACTAGAGACAAGCACTACTCATCTGAAAGAAAATACAAACAAGCATCCAGAGATACACACTGCCCACAGCTCCAACATCACCACTGTCCTGGTACCCGCACCCACTACCAGCACAGAGGGACACCTGAATGTGTAACAAGCTTCCAAGACAAACACAGTAGGAAGCAAAGAAGAAATACAAAAGTAAGAAACTATATTCAGGCTATTGAGAGAACTTTAACCTCTTTTTGTTGTGTTTTTGGGTTGGGTTTTCTTTGGTAGACCTCCTGGTGGTATTTACTGCTCACTTGTGGAAACCCTGGTGCACTGCCCACACTCCCTGCTGCTGAAAAGGAAGGTTGTGTTAAAGGAATGGAAGTTAAAACCTGCTCTGAACTCCAGAGTTAATGATTCCGCCCCAATTTCTCTGCTACTGCAAAGGGGCTGTTGCTCCCAGCAACCAGGCAAATGCAACACCTCTGTGCCTGACCAGGAGGCTGGAGGAAAATGGGAATGTTCCTGCAGCTGACACACAGGGCTGTGACAGCAGATGCGACTCAACTCTTTGTTTTCCTGAGAGCTTTTTGGGTGGCCCCACCAAACTTTTGATAATTCTACAAAACTGACCCCTCACAAAGAGGCTAAGAGACTTAATTCTTTAATGATGCTGAAGTATTCAGACATCTGGAGAGAAGTATTATTCAATTAGTGTCCTGCCAAGGGAAAACCTCTCTTACCTAATCTTAGCTGCAGTTATGGAGCATCTTTATTAGTGCCTGCATGCTGCGTGGTAACACAAGGAAGTGTATCTGCAGAGCACAGGCAGCAGGCAGCAGCAATTGTGAGAACCTTAACTCAGCATTTCCTGACAGGAGTGATTAAAATCTCAAACTAAGTGTAATATTAACACTTTCTCAAGAGACTGACAGCCCGTTTGCCCTGTTTACTTTACCAATTCACAGTCTGCACAGCAAGCTGCAGATGGTACTATCAGATTTAAGATGAATGCAGACCCACGGCAAATGAAACCAGTGGCAGAGAAGAACCGGCAAAGACTCAGTCCTTCAGCTCACCTTGCACTGCCCAGCTGTTTTTAAAAAAACAACACAACTGTTCACTGGTTCAGCATCCCTTCTTCCATTTCTTATTCGAACTGCACACAGAGTGACCAGATACCGTCAGGTAAGGGGTCAGCCTGGGCCCTCCTGCCCCTGCACACCTAGAAACACGCAACGTACAGCGAGACCACAGAGAACAGCCGTTCACACAACGAAACCCCAAAAGGCTGCAGGCAAAACAGACAAAACCCTGAGCACCAAACAGCCAGGCTGCAACCCAAACACTTCCTCGGCTTACTATGAAACTGTCCCATGCCCTCTGTGCCAACAGTGCCAAATTCATTCACAGGGGAAGGGGCCAAACGGAGATTTACACCCCTCGGTGCAGACAGGTGGTATGTTCTTTCAGTTCTGCATCTTCCTAGAAAATATGATGTAGCACGCTGTGAAAAAAGCAGCTATGCCAAGCCTGTACCTAAACACACAGTGCAAGGCAAACTGCCAGCCCTGCACTCCACCTTCCCTTGTCCCAGCAATGGCTGCAGCATGAGCTGCCCTTCTGCACACTTGGCATCCCACATTAGTAACTCCAGTCTGTGGGCTCCTAACCCTGAAATAAAGCAATGTTTGTGCCTTTGTATAGGGCTGCATAAGGAGAAATAAAGTCAGAAATGAGAAGAGATGTGTAAGCGTGTGCTGACGGGGACATCACGCACATCAGCAGGTCCTGGGAGAGTAATTGTGCAGCATCTCCCTGCCAAGTGTGTCACGTCACAGGACTGGCACCTCATCACCTGCACAATGAACAAAGCGACTACTGAGGGCAGAAAACATCCCAATTCAATTTCTCATCACCTGTAAACAGCCAGCATCCTCACAGTCATCTCTGGCTGGGTTTGAAGGAACAGCTTGCCATGTGAAGGGTGCAAGCAGCCTCTCTCCCACACTTCTGCCCAGTACACATCCAGAGCTGTTAGGGTCTATACTTGCAATGTTTTATTTGCTTCTGGAATCTGAACTGTAAAATCCCCTTCTCTGGCCCAGAAACAGCTGCCATAAGACTGATGCCTGCAGAGCTACCTGCAGAGCACAGCTGTCAGGGCAAACAAAACAACACAGCTTTCCTCAGCCTTTTAAAGGGCTAAAGCTGGCAAGGAAGGGACCGATGACAGATTTAGACTCATTTCCCCAAAATGACACACAGGCGCTGGCACACATCCCCTGGGAGCAGAGCTGTTCCCTTCCGCCCGGCCGGGGATGTGGGGCAGAGGTGCTGCCAGGATGAGGGCTGCTGCCTGCCCCGGCCAGGCAGGGCCCTTCCGAGGCCAAACAGTGCCACACAGCGGCAGCTCACGGCTGCTCGGCTCCAAAACACAAGGATGCTGCAAGGAAGAGGCGAAGAAGGAAGGAGTCCAGAGCTTCCACAAGAGCTGTTTGTCTTTATCCAGCCCCAAAGCTTCACGGCTCAGGAGCTCTGGCAGCCACACAGATTTAAGGTTTCCTTTCCACACGGTTATTTTTGGTGACATGGCCATGCCACAGCCCCAAAAGCAGTTGTGCCAACTCGGGTGCTGCCCCACAGCAGGCACAGGCAGCCTGAGTATAAATACCTTGGCTGCCAAAACCATCAGTGCCCAAACCCAGGCCCTCAGCTCCCCCTGCCCTTTGTCATTATATTTCTGATCGTGTTGCCTCTCCATGATCAGAAAGCTTGTGCTTTGCACAAACCAGTGTTTCAAACAGAGGGAGAAATCAAGGCTAATGGTAACAATCACACAAATCTGTAAAGACATTGCCAGTGACCTGCACTTGAAAGCACAGCCCCCCTTGGCTGCACTACAAACAAGACATCAGTGCCCCCCACTTCACTAGCTGCTACACTACCTGAGAGCACTGGAAAAGAGAAACCCTCAGTGCCTCAAAAACACTCACAGCATCTCATGTCAAAGCACCTTCATCAATGACTGATGGAGAGGCTAAAGCTTGGCATGTTCCTTTCAATGATGCTGAGGAAGCAAAGGTCTCCAGAAGAGAAGCTGAGGAGAGGGAAAACAACCAAGGGCAGGAACATCTGAAAAATGCTGCAACAATGTGCCAGAGCTTATCTTTCAAAGCTCCAAGACTTCAGTTCCGCCCAGCTGAAGTCACAAACTTGTTATAAAAGCACAATCGTATCTGAGAAGCTCTGGGCCCTGCAGGGTGCAGGGAAGGTCTTCCCAGTTCTCCTAAACTCACATCCTTAACAGCCATTTTAGGACAGGCAGCCCAGAGCTCCCTGGCACGTTCCCTTGCAAGTCTCATGTGCCAGAGCAGTGCAAGGATTCCTGGAGGATGAGCTCCCAACCACCACTGCCTTCGCCCACATTCCTGGGCCTGACAAACAGAGTTCACTTGGGCTCCTCCTGCAAGGTACAGCTGGACAGGCTCACAGGAGACACCGTTAGACAATTATAATTTTAATTCTTGCAAAAGGAAGGCGCTGGTCTGGCCTCTCACCGGAGCAAGTAATGCAAATGTAACACCTACAGTGGAAATCGAAACCATGGTTTTCACATTCCCAGCGCAAGCCTCCAATCATCTGGCACTGGGACAAGTGACCCACTTCCAGAACAAGCCTCAGAACTTCCAGGGTCACTGTTAACCCTGGTCTCCAGCACCTGACCTCACTTCCCACCAGGAACCTCACCCAAGTTAGAGCCCTCAGCAGAGGCATTTTACAGCATCTTCTGTTTGTGCCTCTCCTGTTCCACATCGGCCACGCCAGCACACGCTGCCAAGAAATGGATGGTAACAACATGCCTTAAACACGAGAGGCACGAGGTCACCAGCTCCTCAGCCTGACCCAGGCACAGCTCCCATAGGGAAAGCCAAAACACTGGAAAATTTAGCAACAGGAAAGCAAAACAGATCCAGTGTCATTCCGCTGCATTCCAAACACATGACACCAAAGCCAACCGCCGCCTCCTGCAGTACTCACGTCGCTGGGGCTGAGGTTCCCAAGACCATTGTCCTGCTCGGAATCCCTGCCGGACTCGTGGCCCTGGGAGGAGCGGGGGTGGGAGGGATGGATCCAGATCTCCAGCCGCGTGGCATCATCTCCAACTTGTCGCAATGTAGACTTCTTGCCCTTCCCCCGGCGGCTGGGGCTCACATCCAGCACCTGGTGTTTCCTCTGCTCCATCTGCTCAGACTGGGAACACGGGACAGATTCAGATCACCCAGGGATCAAAGTTCAGGGAAAGTATACATTTATATGGATAAATCAGCCCTTCTCCCTGCTTCAGAACCTCAGTAACTCATGAGTCCAGAATTTGGTTCTGACCTACAGGACCGTGCAGGTGAGAGGTTTTCAACTCCAACTGTCCTGGGACAAGAAAAGTTGTGTCCAGTCCCAGGTGTGTGGCAGCCAATGTGCTGTATTTGGGGTGACTCCCTGGGGCACAAAGGGACTGCAGCCTCTCTTGCCCACTCCCACAGGTGTAGGGCACCTATGGAATAAGGCAATTATCCTACTGCACGCCAAGGCCATGCTGCAAACTACAGCAACCTACAACCCTTGCTGAGCTTGGCTAAATTACAGTTTGTGACCCAGAAATAAGAGATTCAGTTGCCCAAACAACCCCAAAAGAACCTGAGGAGAGGCAGAAAGAACTTCATCAGGCTGTCTCTCTCACCTGACTCTCAACATGGGATTTCTTAAAAGTAGGTAATGAGTGACTCCGAGTCCAAAAGAAACCATCACTCTCCTCTTTCCATGCTCTCCAGCAGAGAACAGTTAGTACTGGCAAGTGCAGCATCCCACAGCCCAGCTCCAAGACTCACCTTGCGTTTTGTCTCCTCAAACAGACTCATGAGGCTCTCCTTGGCTGTGAGGATGGGGTTGCTGGCAGCCAGGCTACGCATGTAATAGTAGACAGCATCCAGCTTCCTCCTCTGCAAAAACACAACCAGGCTCAGACCTGCCACTCATTCTTGGATATTCGGAGCTAGGCTCCCACGTGCTTCTCCCTCCCTGCCCCTCAACACAGCACAAAGGTCTTTGATGTGTCAGAAACGTTCTTCCCAGTCATGAAGGAAATGTGCTTCTGAACCCTGCAGTTCTGAACTGCTCTGCTTTAAACCAGCATCTCCAAGTGTTGTGAATGGGGAGATCCCTACCAGCTTCTGTGTCCCAGCATGATGCTTCCATTATCTGCTGTCATATCTGCTTTTGAAGTTTTCCTGCATGGCTGGAGTAGCCAGCACAACTGGAACCCAAGGAAGTCATGTGTAGGTGTTGCTTAGACCAGTGCCCACAGGCTCAGTGAAGGCATGGCAAACAAAACCAGCACCCTGACAGATGGCTTTGAGCACAAAAATCTCATGCAAAAAGTGGGTTGTGTTTAAAGTTTAAAACATTTGCATTCTCAACAGCCCACAGAACAGTTCCTAAAATGCCTGAGGGAGTAGTGTGTATCTGACAAAGCTGCCTGAAGCCACGGCAGCTGGAATCCACACAGCCCATCCGCCACCAGCTTTTTTCTTTTTAAAAAAAAAAACAAAAACATCTGAGCACTGCTCTAAACAATGCCTTTCTCCACCAGATGGAATCTCACAGCCATCCCAGAGGCTCTCCCTATGTCTGCACACCCTTGCATGATGGGATTCTTACCGTGTAGATGGCCAGAAGCGCCAGCTGGTTGTACGGGCGGCCGTTTTTGGGAGCAATTTGCTGAGCCTTCAGGTACCAGCTGCAGAAGGGAAGTGCCAGAGAGAAAGGGTTACTGAAAGGACATCAGGCTGCCTCCCTTGCTGTTCAGTGTGGGCAGTCCTGTAGGGAACAGACCCTTTCCACAAGTGCCCTCTGCCTGCAGGAGAGTGCACCGGCAGCAAGCTGTGCCCGGCCTGGAGAGGGATGGGGCACAGGACAAGAAGGGGCAGATCCAGCTGCAGAAGGAAACACCTTTGGCTCAGCCCAAAGACCAGTGTTTAGCCAGACCATCAAGCATTTGCCCTGTACAGCCCCACATAGAGCACAGGCTGTTCAGGGAATGCTTCTCTCTCAGCCTCTTTTAGCTCCATGACAGCTGGGACCAAACCCTCCACACTCCTTAGCTGATTCCCCTTACTTTTAAGATATTTAATCATCCCAAGAGAAGAGGACCTGTTCAGTGGCAGTCCATTCATCCCTTCAGTCTTCTATTTTCCCTCTCCAGCTTATACCATGCCACAGGGATCCATTAACACTGTTCAGACATACCATGAATTCTCTGTGCTCCTCCCAGCCTCCCTATCAGCACAGTCCACAATGTCCACAGACCCCATACTGAGCAGCTTTCCTTGCACTGTTCTCCAAACCTCCACAGACTTCAGGGCTCCATCCCACATGCTGGGCACACTTGTTCCCTGTCCCCTCAGTCTTTGCTCCAGAAATAAAACACCAGTGACAGGAAGCAATAAGTGCCAGAACATATGGATGCTTATGGGATCCTCTCCCACATGAAAAGTCACCAGAAAATACAATGGCCACTCTGCCAGCCTCAGCAGCCTAAACCCTCCCTGCTGCAGGATCAGCACAGGACAACTTCCACACCAGATGATGACTGGGTCTGGTGGCTTGCTCTCTGGAATAGCAAAACAATCTCAGCTACAACTTTCAGCTTCACAGGACTGCGATACAAGAGAGGAGTGGAAAGACTTTAAAAGGAGAGGAAAGACTTCTTTGGCTAGAGGCGAGTTCAAGGATGAAATGAGACCCATCCCTCGTGGCCAGAGGCAGAGCTGTGCTCCGTGCTGCCGTGAAGAACATGGTACCTGTGTTCCTACCTGCGTGCCTTGCCGTAGTTCGCCGTGTCGTTCGCTTGTTCTCTGTACCGGCATATGTCCCCTTGGCAAATCATGCACCTCTGGGCACTGATCAGGGCGTACTTCACCTGCAAAGGAGCACTCACGTGGGACCTGCACAGCCCTGGGTCATCTGCACACCCAGCGAGCACACAGGGACTGTGCAGAGCCAAGAGGAGGTCAGTGACACACCGAAGGTCTCACGAAAGGGCAGCAGAATGAAATCACAGGGCTCCATGGCACTGGTTCAGCATTCGCAGGGGGCAAGTCAATCCCTAAACACCTCCTCTGTTACAAGAACGTCCCACCTCTCTCCAGAAGGGAGTTGTTCAGTCCATGACCAATTTGAGGCCAGCTGTTAGATAAACACATCGCTCTGGGAATGGAGCTGGACTAAAATATCCTTTCCCAGCTGTCCCTCGCACCTGCACTCACAGCTCAGGGCAACATGGCAGGGAGGCAGCGCAACTGCCAGCTTTCCTTGTTCATTATTCTGGATCCCAGACAGAAATAAGAGATGTTCAATACCTAAGGAAAAATCAGGGTGCCCTTGGACACTTCTTTCCCTTTATTAACCCTGGTCACAGAGCTGGTACAAAACAAGTTCTTTGTAAAGGAAGATAAAAAATGTTAATGCACCAGAGTTGGTTCAACAATTTCTCCAGCAGCTGAGAAAGACTCCCTGCAAACAAACTGACTCTGTCTGGAGTACAGCTGCTTGTCTCTCAGCAAGGGCAGCACACTAAGTTCAGCATCTTGCAGAGGATCACCAGGATGAGAAGTTCCAGGTGGAAGCCAACCTACCATTTTCCGGAGAGGTTTACTGCGGATGGCCATCCCATCCATGTAGTCCTCTAGCTTGAACTGGTAGGACACCTGCAGCTTTTGGAGCAGGCCATCAAAAAAAGAAGAGCCCTGCAAAACACACATATACTTGTATGTTATAATCTTGCTGATGACAAGCATAAAATCACCATACCATCCCTGCCACGTGCAAGAAAGGAGGTCCCTCTCCTGAGGTCTGGGCTGTTTCTCTTCAGAACACAACAAGGATGTTGGGGGATCTCCAGCCTCAGAGATTTTCAAGACTGAGCTATGCAAAATCAAGACTGACCTGGTCTACTGTTTGCTGAGTCCTGCTTTGAGCAGGAGGTTGGACTAAAGACCTCCAACTGTCCCTTCCCACCACCCTAATTTTATAGAACACATCCTCTTGGGGCTGTCAACCTACCTAGTACAAAGAATAAACTGAGCTGCACAGTTTAACAGAATGACTTTTAAGCAAATTTGATAAAGATGGCACAAACATCTCCAGGAATGCTTCTGTTTATTTACACTTCAGGGTATTTGTTTCATTTTAGTTTAAATTAATTTCTAATTAACACAAAGTACACCAGAACAAGCCCGATTTAAATTATAATAAATATTCACCTGGACATGCACCTGCCACACTTAACCATAACCTGTCTGAGCATTCTCCTTGGACAAGGATGACCTAAGGCACATGGAGGTATAAAGAGGATCAAGAAGACTAGTTGCCCCATTACACCATCCCATTCTAAACACCAGTCAATCCCACCCAAAGTTTTAGTGGAATCTGAGGATGTTTCTCCCTTCTTACCTCATCTAGAAGCAGGAGTAGCTTGTTCCGAATTTCTTGGGCATTTACCCCCTGAGGGTCCTTGAGGAGCTGCCGGAATTTCTCGATCACCTGGTAAAATGCATTCTTCCACAGCAACTGGTCCACGTTCTGGGTATCGGAGAACTCGATATCCATCAGGATGCACCGTTCATAGAGCTGCAGCATCTCCACCCTGCAGCAAAACACAACCAGTTGTCAATGCAACAGCAACTGCCCAGGCTCCAGCTGCCAGGAAACACATGCTGAACCACCTGCTGCTCACGTCCAGCAGGCATGAGCTGTCAGCAGCACTATGGCAAATCATTGCTTCCACACCCATCCCAAAGGGAGACAGGAGCTGCTGCACTCCAACACCCTTTCTGCTCCAAGAGGGTAAGTCCAAAAGGGTCATCTCCCTTGTACATGTGAATCAGAATGGATCAGGTTTAGGAAAGAGCAAGGAGCTTTGCTATAGTCCTGCTACTGGAAACAGCAAGGCATAAGTGTCTTCTGATACCAACACAGTGGACACACGTGCCACCAGGCTCTGCTCCTTCTGAGCACAAAGTCTGGGCCAGGAACGAACACACAAAGAACCAGGGGGTAACAGAGGTCCTGCCATTAAAATGATCCCCATCTCCCTCCCTTCCATCCAGCTGAAACACAGATCCCACTTCCTCAAAAATGGACAAGTTGGGAACATCACATCCAAAGGAAATAAAGCCTCAGAGTTCCAGAAATCTCACTACCTACAGCCCTGCCTAGATGCTGGAGCAGAATTCCTCCCCCCAAATTCAATAAAATAGTTGCAGGCTAGAAACAGCTCTGCAATATGTGGGACAAGTTTATGGTGAAGGAGATCCTCAGCTCTTCCTGCCTTGGCAGCCTTATTCCTTATAATGCTTCGAGTCCTACAGAAAACAGTACGACAGCAAAGGTGGCAAAGCCTGGAAGAGCCTGACAGGGTAAGAGAAGGATGCTTGGTAGGTTCCTGTTGAAAGCACAGAGTGAGGTTCTGCTACCCAACCCCATGCAGTCCCCAAACCCTGCACACATACACCCGGACAGCACAAACACCAAGAGAACTGGACATTTCTGCAGCTGGATGTCGGATAAGAACCCACACACAGCTCCACAACAGGCTGGCAGCACACACTCAGACACAGGCAGGGGACAAGGGACACCACCAGCAGGGACAGGGCCAACCATGCTGATGCTCCCAGGGCAAGGTGGGCTTCCACAGGCCACAGCAGCGCTGCACAGTGTTTTCTCTCCCTCTGGACAACAGCTCCAGGTGACCTCAGCACCTTGAGGAAGCTCTGAAACCTCCAGTGCTGCTTCAAGCACAGACATATCCCACCCTGTGGTCTACAGTGTAAGTCCCCAAAACACAGAACGAGCCCTGAAACGAGCTCACCTGCTAGATCTGCTGCCAGTCAGCTCTGAAAATAATAAGTCTCCAGAGAAGCCCTGGAGACACAGAGGTCACAAGCAAACGTGAAAGATGCCAAGTAGAAACTTGCTATGGCCATGTTAACTACCTTCCAGAGCACCAGTGTCACTTCTCTCTCACTAGCCTGGCATCACCAGGCTACTTCCACTGGAGCATCAGTGTTGAGAGGCATCAAGAGCAAAACTACACAGCATTTGAAAGGCACTGCCATTGTCACACAGCACCAGAAACCCACAAAATGTTTCCTGAGCACACCCTGAAGCCCACAAGATGATCCTGACAGCGGATAACCAAGGACAGGTGAGAAAGCAGAAGTCTGACAGCAAACACCGAGAGCACTTGAGAGCACTGAAACTGAGAGATCAGCTCCAGCAAGAAAAAGAAGAACCCAAAATCTGCAGCAGGTGCTTGTCCTGCTCCTCTGTGTCTCTGCAACACCGGAAAGGCATCCACCAAGCAGAATAAGCCATGGCTTAGTTCCCAGCTCAGGTAAATGACATCCTCACCCACAGCTTCCTATGCCCACACACCACTGGCACACAAACAGACTCAGCACATCAAAAACCAGCAATCCTCTGTCCCATCTCCCAGTCTCTGAGACAGACCCTCAGTATACCACATCCCCAAGGAGACACCATTCCCTGCTATTCCACCCCGGAAAGGACTCGGTCTCACACCCCTTCTCGAGCACAAACCTCAGCTGGGCCATCTTCTCCAGTCCCTCGGGGCTGATGCGGTCTCTGGAAAGGAGGTTGCTGAGCTGCTGCTCCTGGTTCCCAGCCTCACGCAGGAGTTTGCTGAGCTCCTGCTGCTGCATGTTCCTCATCTGCTGCTCCATCTCGGGGCTCAGAGCAGTAGGGGGGAGTGGGCCACACAGGTACTGCCCCGCCTGGCCGGGGTACCCAGGGTAATAGGCTCCTGGGTACACGCCGTTGGTTGGACCCATGGGATACTGCAGGGAATACCCACCATATGGATACTGGGGGCCTTGGCTGGAGGCCCGAGGGTAATAGTAGGGGTTGTCAGAGTTTTGGAATTTATAGTAGGAGGACTGGGCCTGCCGGGCTTCCCCCCAGGAGGTGGGGCTCACTTCATCGTCCGTGTCTAGGAAGTGGAGCTGGGCAGTCTGGCTCTTCAGGGCAGGTTTTTGGTCCGGGTTGTTTGGGTCCCACAGCCTGCGAGCGGTGCCACCTCGGCCCCGGCTCCGGGAGCCTTTGCTGCCAGCCCCGCCGAGCAGGAGCCTGGGCCCAGGGTGACTGGCTTCGGGGGCACCCGTGGTGCTGGCAGAGAGGTCCGTATTGGCAGGCAGGAATAGAATCCCACGGCCCCTCCCTTGGGGCTCCCTGCTCTGGCTCCTTGGCTCCAAAGTCTCTGAGTCTTTGCAACTAGCAAATGCCTTCAGGGACTTTTTTTTATCTGTATCTGTCAGACTGACATCCCTGTTCATGGTCCTGCTGTCAAATGTGACTCGAAAGGGTCCCTTCGTTTCCCTGCCATTGCTGCTCCATTCGCTCTCACTCCTGGAACCTCGACTCTGCTCCGAATGCTTCTTCCTGTCCGAACTCCTGCTGGAGACGTATGCTTCTGCCTCATCGAACCTGTCATCGTCCAAGGAGTCAGTGGAGGACACAGACAGCTGCTTCCTAGGACGTATTCTTTCCCTGGCACGCTCCTGGCGCCTCTCCACCCCATCCACGAGCAGGGTTCCGTCTATGCTGTTGCTGCTTCCAGCTGAGCTCGTGCTGCAGGTGCGGTACCGGCTCCGGCGCTTGTCCGTGCGGGAATATCGCTTGGTAGAGCCCAGCTTCCCCTGCATCCCCTCATCGCCCCTCCTTGTCCTGTCGCTTCGCTCTGCTCGTCTTCCTTTATCTCCCCTTGAGGCTTTCACTCCTTCCCCTGCCTGGCTCCCCTCTCTATCCTCCTTGCTTGGTTTAATTTTCCTGTTAATGTCTTTTCCAGCGCCTTTCTCAGTCTCTTCATCCCTCTCGAGTTTCAGCTGCTCCATCTTGCCGGTGGCTTCCTCGGCCGCCGACCGCAGGGACGGTTCTTTAGCAGCCAAATGCAGGCGCTTCCCAGGCTGGTAGATCTGCTGGTCCGGTTTCTTGGTTCTCCTGGGGGTCTTGGAACACCACTCATCCACAGTGGGCTGCTTGGACAAGCTCTCCTGGCTCTGCAGGCCACCTTTGGTCTCTGTCTCTTCCCTTTCCTGAGAAGGGCCGTTCTGCCTGGGGCCGTCGCTTTTGCCAAAATCCTCCGTGGTTGGAGCCCCTGCTCTCACAGGGTCCCCAGCACTCTCCTCCTTGCCCTCCTCAGCTCTGCTCCTCTCCTTCTCTGATGCCTCATGCTTTAATGGCACCAGTTTGCTCCTCAATCTGGAGAGGCCAGGCTTGTAAATCTCCTGGTCTGGGCGCCTGTTGTCCTTGCGGTGTCTCGGCTCCTTCACCTCCTTCATGTTTTCTGGGGGAAAACAGACAGAAGAAAGTTATTCCCATCACAAACGAGCCAGGCACCAAAGAATACTGCGACAAATATTTTAGGAGAAATATTAAGTAAAGGCAAAGAGCCTGCCATCCTCAGGGCAGGTCTAAGAGAACTGAGCTGAAAACCTGTGTAAAGGCTTACAGGAAATCACAGAGTAAGAGCAGAAAGTGAGGAACTCTAACAAAGTCGACCAAATCCTTGGCCTGATTCATTTACAAAACACATCCTGCAATAGGTTTTTCCTCAAAGCACCGACAAGGGACAGATAAAGACAACACAAGACGTGAGCACGTGTACACAAGGAGTAAAGTTTTATCATAAAGGTTCAGCAGCAGCTGGTGCAGGGGCCGCCGTCCCCAGCAGCCCCCGCTCTGCCAACTGACCGCTTGAGCTAAAGACGCGTTTCCCCTCTTGGTTACATCCTGGTAACGTTTCTCTCCTCCTCCCTCAACCGTATTTACACAAAAACTCGTTAGGGAGCCCAGCCCGGAGCGCGCACGGTTAAACGATCCCCCGAAGCCGGGCTGTTCCCCGCTGCACTCCCTCAACTTTCCTCGCTACCAGTAACTCGCAGCGGAACCTCCGCCGGTACCGGAGGATCGGCCCCGGGGGTCCCCGTCGGGCCGGGACCGACCGGCAAAGCCCCTCGCGGACCCAGCGCGCCGGCCGCTGAGCGCTCCCACCCGGGACACCCCCGCGTCCGCCCCGACCCCAACCCCAACCGCAGCGAAGGGCCGGTGAGGAGGGGAGGGGAAGGCCGGCCGCGGCTCTCAGGTGCCCCCCGTGCGCCGCTCACCTCTCCCGCCGCCGGCGGCGCGGGCCTGCGCCGCCACCATGTCCCGCAGCTCGGCGGCCGAGACGCGGACGCGCTCCAGCCCCTCCGCCATCTTGGCTGCGCCGGGGCGGGCGGGCGCGGGACGGCGGCCGCGCAGGGACAAACCGCCGCCGTGGCGGCCACGCGCAGGCGCGTGCACACGCACATGGCCGCGCTCGAGCCCGCGGGGCCGCGCGCGGGGCTGGCAGAGGTGCGGGCCGCGGAGCGGCGGCTGCGGGGCCGCGTCCACCGCACCCCCCTGCTCACCTGCGCAGGGCTGGAGCGCATGGCAGGCCGGAGGCTGCTCTTCAAGTGCGAGCTGCTCCAGAGGACCGGCTCCTTCAAGGTGCGCAGCGCTGCAAGTCCCCCGGGGGCGAAGGTCGCTTCTTGCGCTCGCCGTGCGCCGCTCCCCACCTGCCCTCCAAGCAGATGTGGCTCCTGACATCCCGCACAAGGCCTGAAGTGCTGCCTTAGGGCAGAGGGAAGGCTGCAAAGAGGAGATGCCCCACCTGCCCGCTCAGCCCAGCACACCAGCTCCGGGGCAGCGACACAGAGCCCTGTGCTCTCCTTCCAGATCCGCGGCGCCCTGAACGCCGTGAGGAGCCTCGTGGAGGAAAGCGAGCGCACAGGAGGGGAGCTGCCCCGCGCCGTCGTGACACACAGCAGTGGGAATCACGGGCAGGCGCTCGCCTGTGCTGCCCAGGCAGAAGGTAAAGGCACCCCCCGACCTCCAGCCCCAGCGCTGAGTAGCCGGGCAGAGGGCCCAGCGTAAGCGCAGAGGCAGCCTCCCTTGGAAAAGAGAGATCCCACTTCCTGAACGTGTGCAGGAGCTAGCATAGGCAAGGCATGGCCTGCTCCTGCAGTGCTCAGCGGGTGCTTGGGGCTTTTGGGCTGTTGGATTTGCCTCCTTTCATCACACAGGGATCCCTGCCTACATCGTGGTGCCCCGGACAGCCCCGCAGTGTAAGCAAGCTGCCATCCGTGCCTACGGTGCCACATTAGTGCCATGTGAGCCCAGCGACGAGGTAAGGCACAGGGGAGACCAGCCAGGGACATGGCACAACCTGAGAGGTGACCCATCTGTGCTTTCCCTTAGTCCAGAGCAGAAACAGCAGCCCGTGTAGTGCAGGAGACAGGAGGAGTCATGGTGCACCCCAACCAGGAGCCAGCAGTGATCGCAGGGCAAGGCACAATAGGCCTGGAGGTGCTGGAGCAGGTGAGAGAAATACAGAGCCCAGCCCTGGGCTCTGCTCCTCCTAGACAGGGGCACAAGCAAAAAGGGGGACACGACATACCAGAAGCACTCACACTTCCTTTGTGCACAGGCACCTGAAGTAAATGCAGTGGTGGTTCCTGTCGGAGGTGGAGGAATGGTTGCAGGAATAGCAGTTGCCATCAAGGTAGGCAACAACTCATTTGGGCAGCAGTGGCTGCACCTCCTTCTGGGAAGGGCAGGGCTCCCAAGGCAGGCAGCAGCTTTTAACTCTGGAGATACCCTGCTGTGAAAATCAGTGGGTGCCTGGGGTCCCTGCCCAGTCCTGCACGCACCGGGACAGCAGACAGGCAAATGCCAGTGTCAACCAAGTGGCTCCTCCTTCTCTCCCCAGGCTTTGAGACCAGATGTGAAGGTGTTTGCTGCTGAGCCAAGCAACGTAGATGACTGTTACCAGTCCAAGGTAAGAGGGGAGCTGACCCCCAATCTCCACCCACGGGATACCATCGCAGATGCGGTTAAAACCAGCATCGGACCAAACACATGGCCCATCATCAGAGATTTGGTTGATGATGTCCTGACAGTCTCAGAGGAAGAAATCAAGGTAAAGGCTCCCAGTTCCCTTCTCACAGTAGCTGCCAGCAGGCAGCTGCCTCCATTCCCACTCTGCCCCTCTGCTCCCACCCTAACACACTCCCAGGACAGCACAAGCCCCTGCCCACCACCACAGCTGTCTGACACCTACGCTGTCTCCAGCTGGAAAGGGCTGGTGGGAGCTCTGCTCTCCCTTCCCAGGGCTCTGCAGGGATCTGCTCACACAGTGCCCTCCCAGCCCTGGAGCAGCCTGTCCCAGGCTGACAGCTGCTGCTCTGGCCCCACAGCGAGCCACGCAGCTGGTGTGGGAAAGGATGAAGCTGCTGATTGAGCCAACAGCAGGCGTAGGACTGGCGGCCGTGCTTTCGGAGAAGTTCCAGGCAGTCCCCCAGGACGTGGAGAATGTTTGCATCGTGCTGTGCGGGGGAAACGTGGACCTGAGATCCCTGACCTGGCTCACAGACCTCTCTGGGAAAGCAGAATGAGTACAGAGCAGTGTCTCAAGCAGTGGAATCCTCACTCTGAATTTGTACAGTGGCTTGCATGCTACTAAAAACAAATGAACAACCCTGAACATTTGGTAATTTTTGTGGAGGGATAAGGGAAGCTGGTATTGATCTCTGAGGGGGGCCTGGAAACAAAGGACTGCCTGTTCTCCCCTTCCCAGCTGCCCTGTTCTGGGACAGGCCTCCAGAGACCTGCACTCAGTCACCCTCCCCAGCTGCTACTCAGCTTTTCTTTCTCAGCATCACAGGAACTGGCAGCAAATTTCTGTCCTTTGTACAGCAAAATCCCTGTACACACCATGTACAGGGCATGAGGGAAAGAAACAACCCCTATGGGACAAGGGGTTCAGCAGACAAGGGGTGCACATGGCCTCCTGGCCACCACCAAGACAAAGGCACTTAAATATTTTTGACATTTTCCATTAAAATAAATAGCTATAGCTGGTACCTGAGCAGCAGCTGTCGAGACAGCTGCCCCTGTTACAGACCCCAGCAGTAACACGTCCAAGGCATCAGTGCTGTCCTCACTGTGCACAGGCAAGAACAGCATCCAGGGAGCCAAGGCACAAACTCCAGCTATGCTGGAGACTCATTCCATTTCCACCTCCTGCTCTGGCAGTGCACTCTCACTCCTCACCCATGGCACAGGGTCCGGAACATGGGGGTCATAAGTCCATTTAGGAAAAACGCGCTTGTAGAGGTTCAGCAGCACCGTGTCCTGGGACTTGAGCTGTCCATCAAAGTGGCACTTCATGTGGCCATGGGTCCCTAGGCAGAGAGCAGAAGAGGCCATTAGCAGTCTCTCCTGCCCAGAAGAACCACACCATCCCAACAACACAGAGATAAATACAGGATCAAACCTACCTAATGGCTCCTTGATGTGTCCCCTACGTCCCCACTTTGTCCTCAGCTCCACCGGCTTAAACCACATCACATCCTCTGGAGATCAAACATGACAGGCGGGTGAGGAACAGGCTGGGCTGCACCAACACAACTGCTTCCACAGGAGCAGGGGTTCTGCCTCCACATCCCCTCTTCCCACCACAGAGACAAGCCATACCTCTGTTAAAGAACATGTACCGCACGACAGCCGTCTTGGTGAAGATCTTGAAGGGGTGGCCACTGAGCACCAGCCGCTTGATGACGATTCTGTCGGGGTCCACGGAGAGCAGAGAGCCCGTGGCAATGAGGTCGTGCATTCCTGCAAGGCAGAGCCACCACTGCACTGGGGCAGGTGCCTCCATCACTGCCTCCCCCACCACAACCCCCTTCCCCAAAGGGTTCCAGGCCCAGAGCAACCCCACAGCAGGGACAGATAAATGTGATAATGGGGATGGAGACTGGGCTTATCTTCTCAAACAGCAGGAAAGGGACAGCTTTTTCAAGTCATACTTTCTGGAGAGATGCACTTGTAAGCAGGGGATGGGAACAGTCTGCTAACGTTTGTTTCCCAGACACCACATCCTCAGCATTTATCAACTTACCGTTACTTCTCTGTTTAAAAAGCAGCACTGAGGCAGGAGGGAAAGTGATGGGAGCATAAACGGTCACCACCAGGGCAGCATCCGGGCGCAGGAAACGCTCCAGCTTGTGCTTATCAGCTAGGACAGAACAGCAATGATCAAGCTGACAGCAGTCCTCAGAGCTCTGGGAAACTCCACTGAGCCCATTCTTACCCAGGAAACAGGCTCTGCACCTTAGAAAAAGAGGTGACAAACACCCCTCCAATTGCTGGCACAGAGCATCTGGGAAAAAGAGGTGCTCCTCTGAACTACCAGTTCACTGTGTGGAGTCTGCCACCACCTTGCCTGGACCAGTGAGCCACCTGGCCCAAGCCCTTCCACTCCCCACAACTTAGTGCCTGCCCTGGAAGCCTCAGAGCCTAAGAGTGAGTCTTCACAAGAATCCTTCAGCCAGGTTCAGACACCATGGCTAAGACATCACTGGCTTCCTGCCCCAGAATCCCCAGCCCCACCTCCTGGTGCACCTGTGCCCAGCCCACCAGTCCCTCACAAACCTGAGGTGTGCTGGGAGAACAGAGGGGATGCTCGGAAGCGTCTGAACCCACAGTGGAAGATCAGCTCCTCCTTGGCTCTCACTGGCTCGGTGTTGCTTGGATGCCGATGCACCAGGAAATTCAACACAGACATCTGCAAGAGGCAGCACAGTGAGGGGTTGATAGCAGGGCTGGCAGGCAATGGTGCACAGCAGAAAGCAGCAGGACATTGCAGCAGACATGAATGTCTTTGAGAATGGCTTCCTGAAGCATCACTGGTCCCCAGTGCCAAACTCAGACACTCTATCCTAAACCCACCGGGCAGCTTCCGCCTGCTCTGACCAAAGGGAATTCTCTACTTTGAAACATGAGCAATGCAGGGAGATTTCAGCCCAGATCCCCTCCAACCCAAGGCAATCTTAAGGAGCTGCACACCTACAAGCTATCAGCAGGGCCATACAGTCACCTTTTGTTCGTGGGGAAGCAGGGAGAACACGACTAGGGGTTTCCCTTCCTTGAAGCTCTCCATCACCGAGACAGGGACATTGCAGATATGAAGTGTAATGTACCAGCCCACCTGCCAACAGAGGATAAGTTCTCAACCAAAAAAGTGTCAGAAATAAGATGTGCCTGAGTTAGGGAGGGAATTCAGGAGAACATCATCATTTGAACTTAGGGCTGCGTGCTATGAACACCTCCCTGATTAAGTCATTCCTGTTAGGAGCAAAGGAACGGAGTAGGGAAAGAGATCAGCAAAAGAGAGTTACCAAGGCT